AAAAAAAAAAAAAAAAAAAAAAAAAAAAAAACATAAAAAAAATGAAAGAAAAATCTCATATAAACTTAAAAATCACAAAGCAAGAAGAGGAATCATTTATTTAATTTTGTTACACTAATAATAATAATCAACCCTGGTAATAAAAGGGTGGCTGAGTTGTGGCAATCCCTGAATATCCCATACCATCATACACTGCCTGATTAGGTCGAGCCTGTGGGTGCATGAGAGCAGCCTGTGCACCCATTTTGCTGAGTGCCACCTGTCTTTCATACTCAGCAAGCTCGGCTGCTGAAAAACCGGGAATCTCCGCTGCTGCTGGTGGCGGCAGAGGCCCGGAGCTCGACCCAGGTATCGTTGGCTTACTGCCCCACGAGCACTAAACCCCCCCAAAAAAAAGGAAAAAATATCTCGTTAAGACAATCACAAATTTATGAAAATAATAACAAGATTAACGATTTTTAGCCATATTATTAATACCTTGATGGGTTTGCCGTAAAACAAATGGGAATTGCCCATCTGGATAGCGAGGGCTGCCTCAGCATGGTTACTGTACCTCACGAAGCCAAAGCCTTTGTCTCGTTGGATACGGATATCCTCGATTGTGCCTGCCCTCAGTGCGTGAAAATGGCGGTGCAGATCAGCTGATGTCACCTGCGATTTTCGAAACATTTTCAGACAATTGTAGAAGATGTATGCTTCTTGACAAGAGAATCAAAATGGGCTTAAGGGTTAATAAATATACATACTTCAGGGGTAAGATTGCCAACATAGACTGTAGTGTACTGGGGATTGTTTTCTGGGGTGTCTTCATTCTTCTTTGCTAGACCATCTTCTGCAATAAATTATTATATGAGACGATTTCTAAAAGGCATTAAAGTAATGATACATATGTATATAATGCAAGAATATATTAATATCGAAACAATTAGGCTTATTATTGAAGTTCAATCACTCCATATCATATATATACATATCGCAGATGACATGAGTTGTAAAGAACAAACCAGATGTTCCATTGGTTAGTTCCACAATGTTTTTCGAATCAGAATTCGGCAGATCATCGCCTAGACCACTGGCACTTTTTGTAGCCCAGTTGCAACGCAGTTGTCTGCTTCCAAGCCATTTCCCTGATATTCAAAAAAGATTTAAAAGAAAAAATTATTGGTAACTCGTTTGGAACTGTATAGAAATTTCATAGTCTCATGATCTTACCAGCAACATTTTAAAATTCTGTAAACCAGTATGAAATACATTCAAGCAGAAAATTTATATTATCACACACTAAAAACCTGAGATAAAACGAAGAATGTTGCCAAAGAAAAAAAGAAGAAAAAATTTACTCAGCCCAATTTATATGGGAAGTTATATCCAACTGCTTATTAAAATGAAATATGAAATAATATATCAGAGTGCCGCCAAAGTAGATATAACTTGCCAGATATAATCTTTTTTTAAACAAATAAAACCTTCTTGGCTTGTATGACCACAAACTCGAAGCTATTTCTCTCTATGAAAAACAAACTAGAACGCCCGAAAGAATTTGCATGTGTGTCGAATTTGTGTACACCTAAATGTTCAAGTACCCTAATCCCACCATAAGCTCCAGAACAGTAATATTTTTCGGTATTTAAAACTCCAATGAATTTTGTTAACCATATTTATTTAGGAGGATTAGTATGAGTTACCAGAAACATCCCAAAAAGGAAAATATATCATATACAAAGAAGAGGATCGAACAAAAGCCAATTCAGATTTTGAAATTTACAAATACTGTAAGATAAAGTTGAAAAACCCGGCTGATAGATTGATTATTTGACTTGACAAAATAGAACACAAACAAATAAGCAATTGAAAAAACTCTCTCTTACCATTCAGGTCATTGATTGCATTTTGAGCATCCTAAAAAACAAAATACAAATGTATAATATTAGATAAGCAGTGGGCAAATATGATCACATTAGTTTTTTCATTTTTTTTCCTATTTATTTTCTTCTTATCAAGGGAGGGGGCAAGCCAACCTGCTGATTGCGATAGGAAACAAAACCAAAGCCCCTTGAACGGCCAGTTTTCTGGTCCCACATCACCCTTGCGTCTCTGTCAAATTATAACGATGAATGTAGCAGTTTACAGGTTTCAGAAAAAAAAAATAATAATAATTATAATACTCGGTCCAAAACGGAAATGCTGGAAAGTGGGCTTACGAGCAACTAGGATACACAGAAAAGCAAGCATATAAGGTAGCATCAGTAACCTCCGGGCTAAGATCGCCAACAAATATGTTGAAATGAGCTGCACATTTACATTTCCACCAACTGTTAAAAGGGAATGGGGAAAAAATGTACAAAAGAGTAGAATAGTTCACATACTCGATGTGTCCTCTCGCTGTGCACTAGTATATGCCCAGTTCACTTTTATAGGCTGCCCAAACCTGGAAAGTTCATATTAGACAGAAACATACAATACCCGACCACCAAAACACGTTCAAATATTGTACTCACAGATGCCTTCCATTGAGCGAGACAATAGCAAGTGCAGCTGAACGACGATCAAAGTAGTCAACAAAACCATAAGATGACTGCATCAAAGCCAAAAAAAAAAGAAAAAAAAAATGATA